AGCTGAGATACCCAACCTCACAGACTGAACAACTCCTGGATTCTTGGACCACTCACAGGCAGCCATTGTTGGATTAGCTGAACCACAGCCTGTAAGTCACTCTAATAAATCCCCACACACACATGGATATGCACATATACACACTGCCTCCTAAGTGCTGGGACTAAAGGCATGCACCGCCATGCCTGGCTTAGGAGTCATTTTCTTAATTTTCTTCAATAAATCACTGTGTTCAAAACCATAAGCAAGATGGCTCAGTGGGTAAAGAATATCGCTGAGCAACTTCAGTTTGGTCCCTGCAAAACGGCATAACGGTGGAAGGAGAGAACAGACTCCACAGTTATCCCAGGACCGCCACACTCAGCCACAGCAAGTCTGTGTCCCACCACTGTACACACAGCAATAAAAAAATTCATGGATATTTACAAAAAAAATAAACAAAGGGAAGAGTGAGAAGGGAAGACTGCTAACATTGACCTTTGACCTCTACATCGGCAGACTCACCCACACAAGCACATGCACACATCACACATGCACACTGCATAAACGCCTGTCCTCCCCCCACTCCCCGAAACAGAAGGAAAAGAAAAGATATACACATCTAAAGAAGAACCTAATGTTTGAAGCAATCTTAAAATTTTGTGTTGGAAGCACTCATCACTATCCTTGGCCACATGTGGCCAGAGGGCTGCAGGTTGGACATGCCTGGGGATGGAGACAAGCTCTCGGTTGCTCATACATCCATACAGGAAGAGAAGAATCAGCACAGGCATCTTGGGAGATGTGACTCCACCCTGAGAAGCCCAGCACCACCCAGACCAGGTTGGGGAGAGTACAGACCAGCCCCGAAGACATCCAGTATAGACTCCACCAGCCCCAGCAGGGACACGGCACAACCACAGACATTAGCCAGGTAGAACATGAGGCCAATGCTGCCGCCAACCTCCGGCCCCAGGGTCCTGCTGATCATGACTAAAAGTGGAAGCAGGAGATTGAGCGTTAAGGGAAAAGAAACCAAAATGGAGGAAGAAGCCATAAGTCAGCCTCTCAGCAGCTTCCAGGTTTCCTGCAAGCACCAGCTCAGCTGCCAGCAATCCTGTGCCGTGCCCCGTGTCTCTGCGTAAATCATAAGAACACCCAGCCTGCCCCATTTCCCTGTCCCCAGCCTGACTCCTGTCAGGCAAGCCCTCTGCCCTGAGCTCCCCCACTGCTCTCTTCTTACTCTTTATTTTGTTGGTTTGTTTCTCACTTTTAAAAGAATTCATTTCATGTGCATTGGTGTTTTGCCTGTATGTGTGTCTGTGTGAGGGTGGCAGAACATCTGGAACTGGAGTTACAGACAGTTGTGAGCTGCCACGTGGGTGCTGGGGATCGAACCCGGGTCCTCTGGAAGAGGAGCCAGTACTCTTAACCCCTGAGCTATCTCTCCAGCCACCACCTTGTATGTTTTTGATACAAGGTCTCAAGTAGCCCTGGTGGCTTCCAATTCATTATGGGTTGGATGACCTAGAACTCCTCATTCTCCTGCCTCTACTTCTCAGAATGATAGGCATGTATCACCATGTTCCACTCTATTTTTTTTATTTTGAGACAAGGTCTCCATCAGTTGCCCAGGCTGGCCTCAAATTCATTCTGTAGCCCAGGGTACTCTAGGGCTTTTAATCTCGCTGCTTCTGTCTCCCAGGTATCTGTGAGAGGCCTGCATTTCCATGCCTGGCATGTACTCTCTCATCTGTAGAATGACTGTCACTGAGCACTTTTGTGATTGTTGTTGTTAGAGGAGGGAAGGACTGGGGATCAAACCCCGAACCTCATGCATGCTAGGCAAACACTCTACCACCAAGCTACGTACATTCTCTGGGCTTAAAAATGCTAACTGTTGACACTGTTAGGAGACCAGATATGAAGACAGAGTGCTGGTCACCTTCACCTGCTACTTACAACTCATTAACATTTGGCCTACTTCCAGACAGAAGATACTGGCCCCTTCCCCTCCTGAACCTTGAGAGCAGAAATACCCAGACCCCGCCCATCTAGGTTGGAGGATACAGTAGGCTCCGCCCCCTCTCACAGCTCCATTGGTGGCAATGGCACACACTGAGAGGACTGTTAGTGCCAGAATGATGTAGGCAACCAGGAGCATGGCCAAGGCCTGCAACAACCCAGCATGGCCCACCACGAACCCTGAACAGGGGAAGAAAAGCAAGTCACAAAGGATGGTTACATTCCTCTCCCCTTACTCCCAGCCCACTGGGCAGCAGAGTTCCACAGCAGAGCCATACAAGGCCACAAGGGGACATTTCCTTCTACCCTCTATCTGACCACATGTACTAGGGTTCATCTCTAGCCTCGGCCCCTTCCCGATAATGCCCCCTCTACTCACCAATCCTTAGAAACACGACTATACTAAACATGGACAGGACTGTGGGCACCACCACACCCAGGAAGGTGGACAGCTTGCGGGCTGATGCCACTCCAGTTGCTCCAGCTCCATTGGGAGGGAAGGCAGCCCCCTCCTCCCCAAGAAGGCGGTAGGCCAAAAGAGGGGAGCTCTCACTGGCCATTCCTGAGCGCCAACAGAGGAAGCCACAAAAGAGCTAGGTGACCTGTAGAAAGAGGCTTTAGTGGCTGGATAGCAATTCCACAGAACCTCTCCCCCGAAACAAAACCCTAATTAAAGACTCAGAGCTTCCTCAAAAGGAGATTTGCAAAGGACACACATACACACACTGGGCGCAGAAACTCAAAACTGTCCCAGCAACTTCCCCACACTCTCAGACTCTGGTGTTTAAGTAATCAGGGCCCCTTTCAGCTCCTATGGACCGTGCCATCCTCCGTGCCCCTGAAACAGGGGGTAGCGGTGGTTCTGCAAAAGACAGATCCCCCGTCACATAGGTCGCTCCTTAACTGGCAACAAGAGGGGAAGAAGATCTCCCCAAAGGGAAGTTAGCTACTACTAGTAAACACCTCCTTCCAAGTCCTAAGCTGCACCTCTCGAGTACCCTCAATCCAGCATCTCATACATGGGCAATAAGAAACTTTCAAACCTCTCAAAGCTCCACCCTCCATCACCCCCGTTCCTCAACCCATCTCAATCCTAACCAGATTTTTCTAATCTCTACAATGAGCCCTCCAAACTCTATCCATCCAAACAGAGCCATCGATTGTCCAAACACAAATGCTGGCCGCCTGGCATCACGCCACTCAGGGTCCCCAGGGTCCTCCTCCCCCACCCACCCGTTCTTGTCCACTTGCTCCAGTAACTGGATGCCTGAGGGGGCAGGCATCTGGCTCCGGCCGGCCAAGCGCACCCTGCAGCTGGGTGCGGCAGGGTGCTCACTCACCACCCTAGGAACGAAGCTGCTCCGGTGTGATCCCAGCGCGCCTGGGGGGCTCCGCTATATGCCGAGGGGGCGAGGGAGCCGGAAAAAGCAAGCGGGCTACCGGGATGTCAGGCCCGGAGCCTGCCCTCCCTAGCAAGGCGTCCCATTGGTCCCGATTCAAGCGCCGCCTCAAAGGTGTGGTCTACCCGCAAGCCCCGCCCATATCCTCGTAGGCTGCCTGTACTAGCTAAACTGTTCCACGTGCGTCCCGGGTGTCTTCTGCAAGGTAGTGGGTCACGATCCTCAGAGCCCCCGATACCAGGATGCTAGCAGATGCCCAAGGTGCGGGTCTGACTGCACTCCGAGCTCCGAGGCGCCCGCAGGAGTATCTGAAAGGGACTCGTGGCGACTGCGGGAAAAGTGGAGTGGGCGGAACCGCGGCACCTGACTCAGGTGTGTACCGGGGACTGCAAGAGACGTCGATCGGCGCCTTCCGGAGTCGTACTCTTCCAGAATCTCTAGAGACCCAGAATGTCCTCGGGCTTCCAGCGTAGTCCCTTTCGCGCCCAGAGGAGACTATCTCCTCGTCCAGTTTCAGCCGGCAGGCTGCGCTCTTCTCTTCGACCACCGGAGGGAGCCGTGAACCTCCATCCAGACGCAGGTCCGGGTGAATAAGCAGGTAACCCTGCTTGTTTTTGTGCCTGTCACTGTGACCCCAAAACTCCAATTGGTGTTCCCCTCCTCAACCCTTACAGGTCTTACCAACGGCGCTTCCTCATCTATAAAACGGGACTTAACTAAGACATCCCTTCTAAAAGAGCAGTTGAGAGATGTATACTAGTCATGTAGACTCGCGGGGGCGGGGGGAGGGCGCTCTTTCTGTAGGCCGGGCTAGTCCCATTTCAATACATAGCTGAAGAAGACTTCATGCTTCTGGTCCTCTAGCCTCCACCTCCCTCCCATGCGTTGGGATTACAGAGAAGTAACAGCACAGCCTGATGCTAATATTTATTTTCCTAAAAGAGCACTGCCCCACCCCCACCCTGAGGTTAAACACAGCTTCAGGCACACTAAGTGATGCTATCGTACATGCACAGCCTTGACATATTGACTTTTCAGTTCAATACATACATAGTCAGTGATTTTTTTCCCCTCACACGGTATTGGATTAAATATGCATAACCCTTCTATGAGTGCATGCTGCTACCATTGTGATTTTATTAGATTAGGGAACTGAAGGTGGGAAGCTTACGGTTTGGGGTTTTTTTTTTAGTTTTTTTTTAATGTTGTGAGTATTTTGTCTGCATGTATGTATGTGCGCTGCATCCATACTTGGTGCCCACAGAGGTCAGAAGAGGGTGCTGGATCCCAGGGGATTGGAGGTACAGATGGCTGTGAACCACCACATAGGTGGTGGGAACGGAATCTGAGTACTCTGCAAGAACAGCAAAGACTTTTACTCACTGAACCATCTCACTGGTCCCCCTTGAAGACACATTATGTAGAGATTCATGGTCACCCTGGTATTTGGTCCTCCAGAAATGAACACAGTTACAGAGTCTCACATTCCCATAGGAGACGCTGGAGCTCAGACTTACCAAAAGGGCTTGTCATACAAGCACAAAGACCTGAGTTCTGATCCCCAGAACTCATGTAAAAGAATTTTAAAAGGCCAGATGCTGGGGAGGCAGACAAGAGGATCCCTGGGGCTCAGCTTAGCTGCTGGCGAGCTCCAGGCTCAGTAAGAGAAATGAAGTAAAAAGTTACTGGGAAGGACGTTTGACCTAGCCTTCTCATGCGTATCAACATATTCGGACACAGACGGGCACACCCGCTGTGGCTCCACCAAGGTTACATTTGGCATCCTTGCTACCCATGTTTCAGACAATATTTGGCGATTTTTCTTTGAAATTTCTAAAAGCTCGGATGTGGCTCCCTCCACGCTGACCATGCCAATACAAACTGTGCTCTGGTCCCCAGTGTGTCTGTGATTGTCTGAGACAGGCTCTTGGTAACCCAGGCTGCATAGCTGTGCTCTGGTCCCCAGTGTGTCTGTGTGAGACAGGCTCTTGGTAACCCAGGCTGCACAGCTGAGGATGACTGAACGCCTGGGCTTCTTGCCCTCTGCTTCCCAAGGGCTGAATTATAAGTATCTCCCCACCATTCCTGTCCTGTGCCTTCTTGGTTATGGTTTGTTTATTTGTTTGTTTGTTGACTTTTTCAAGACAAAAGATTTCTCTATGTAGCCCTGGCTATCCTGGAACTTGTTTTGTAGATCTAGCTGGCTTCAAACTCACAGATCTACCTCCCTCTGCCTCCCAAGGGCTGAGATGAAAGGCAAGGTCTACCACATCTGGCTGTTCTTGTTTATGTTCAAGTGTGGTTTTTTGTTATTTTTGAGACTGGGTTTTATGTAGCCCAGGTAGGTCTTGAACTTCTGACCCTCCTGCTGGCACTCAGAGGCATAAATACACCTGTATTATTATAGCACTAGGGCATATCCTCTGACTGTTACCACGGGAAAACTTCATCCAGCGAAATGTCTTCAGTAAGCAACCCAGAATCGACTCCAGTGTCAGCCTACCAGGGCAGGGTCGCATTCCTTTCATAATGAGCCTCTCTCCCTGGAAGAGAGGAAAAACAAAAAAAACTATACTGGTCATGGTAGTTCATGCTTGTAATCTCACCATTCACTCAGAAGGCTGGGACAGGAGGAGTGAGGGTTCAAGGGCATCCTTGTCCACATAGAGAGTTTGAGGCCAGCATGGGCTACATTAGAACCTATCTCAGAGCACTGAGAAAGAAGAGAGAGGAGCTGCCACCCTCTGGCTTTTTCTTCTCTTTTCTTTTTTTTTCTTTTCTTTCTTTTTTTTTGTTTTTTGTTTTTTTGAGACAGGGTTTCTCTGTGTAGCCCTGGCTGTCCTGGAACTCACTCTGTAGACCAGGCTGGCCTCGAACTCAGAAATCCGCCTGCCTCTGCCTCCCAAGTGCTGAGATTAAAGGCGTGCACCACCACTGCCCGGCCCTTTCTTTTCTTGTTTTAAAGACAGGGTCTCTGTTGTCTTGGAACTCACTCTGTAGACCAGGCTGTCCTGGTCTCTGTCCTGCCTCTGCCTCCTGAATGCTGGGCTTAAAAGCATGGCAGAGCATATCCATCCCAATTAGCTTCACTTTAATTAACACTCTGAGCCTCCCAAAGCCACACAGTTGCATGTATGTGCCCCGTATGCACACACGGTGCCCAAGGAGTTCAGGCAAAGGCAACAGGTCACCTAGATCTGGAGTCACAGATGCTTGTGAGCCACCATGTGTGTCCTGGGAACCAAGTTCCCTGTTCTGCATCTGCGTGCCTTGCTGCCTTCCTAACCTTTGGGTCAAAATCTGACTAGTCTGCCTTGGTAAAGATAACGCCTTGATGGGTTATGATAACAGCCGTGGAGGTGGCTGTTCAGATGTAAGGGCTGCTTTTGTTACAAACAAAGAAGACTGTGCTTCTCTTGGGCTAGCAAATGTCCTCAGGGTGGCTGGAACTGCAAGAGGAGTCTTGATCTCTGTATTCCTTTCACATTACCATAACAAAAGCACCCAAGGCTCGTCACAGTTGGAGCATGGAGGACGCAGGGTCACACTGGATCCAGTCAGGAAGCAGAGAGAGATGAATGCTGGTCCTCAGCTCAGTTCTTTTCATTCAGTCCCCATAGATGCCAGGTGACAGTGAGGGTGTGTCTCCCCACCAGATAGTGAAGCTATCTGGAAAATCCCTCACAAACCTACCCTGAGGTTTGCTTCGTTGGTGATACTAGATCTTGTCAAGCTGACATTGAAGATTAGCTGTCGGAGCAGCTGCCCCTGTCCTGCATTGTACCCTTTGCTGCCTTAACCTTTGGGTCAAATTCTGTTCGACTTCAGATACTGACATAGGTCAGTTGCGAAATATTTTGCCTGGGGCTGGGGAGATAGCTCAGCAGTTAAGGGCACTCCTTGTGTTTACTAAGGACCCAACTTTGGTTCCCAGGACCCACATGGTGGCTCACAAACATCTATGACTCCAGTTCTAGGGGAGCTGACGCCTTCTCCTGAACTCTTTAGGGTGTGTGCACATGGGGCACACATGTGCAGGCAAAACACTCAAATACATAAAGAATTTTTAAAAGAGAAACGCTTTGTCCAAGACCACAACACAGAATTAATCTAGATATTTAGTCTCTCTTTTCCCTTTTCATAATTAAGACGCACACCAACCTCAAACTGGGCATGGTGGCTGGCTCATCGCCGCACTGACAAAACAGAGGCTGGTGGACCTCAAGTTCAAGGACAGTCTGGACTGCGTCTCCAGACCTGTCTCAAATAAACAAACAAACAAACAATAGTCATTCCTTTAGACTGCAGTGGTAGAAACTCTGACTCCCCCACTCCACTGTAAGCCGAAGCCAGTCTTACTCTTCACGTGACTGCACAGGCTCCGCCCTCAAGGAAGGGAATGTGGCGGCGCCCTGGGTAGCTTCAGAGAGGACAATCAACGAGAAGGCGCTGAAGGGCTAGAGCGTCCACACCGGCGTGGTTTCTGCGGTTGTATGCTGGGAAGGCGGGAATTCTGGGTCTACGTGCTGGATGTCCGTCTCCCTAGTTTTTTAAAAAGAGGAAAAGCAAGCAAGAAAGCAAAACAAAAACAAACAAACAAAACAAAAAACCAACCACCTAAACCTCAGGGGTGGCATGGTCTGACTACTGGCTACCTCCGCCTTCTCCGGAGTCCCAGGACCCAAGGCAGGAGGATGAACTTGCGGCATTCAGTAACTGTTCTTCCCCCTTTGTGTCAACACTTTGCCAACTTTTTAAAGTGACTTCATGTCAGCCCAGCCTCTCATTCACACACACACACACACACACACACACACACACACACACACACACACAATCTGTCCTTTCCATGTCCGATCAGGAAGTCCAATCAACTCGGGAACTCCGAACGAGACCTCATATACTAATTTCCTGGCGATGCCCCGAATCCTTCCTCCCTCCCACCGTGAGTTCCCCAGAGTCTGGTGATTCTGTCCGTACCCACAACCATGTCCAGGTCCCTAGGGCAGATGAGCCCTTGGCCACCACCCCTTCAATTTCCTGAAAACCCAGCAAACAAAAGGCTCGGGAAGGGAGGCGAAGCCGAGCAGGGCGCCCTTCCTGCAGGACAGCTGATGGAGCAAAAAAAAAAAAAAAAAAAAAGGTTCAGGAGGGAGCAGAGGGGAGGGATGACATTCCAGGGTTCTTCCATGGATCCTACTAGATCCCGGGGAGGAGGGAGTTCATCAAGGGAACTGGACCTTAGAGAGCCCAGGACACCTGAATTTGCAAGCTTGGTGGGGTGATGTCAACCTCAGGGAATGGAGGGGGTGGGGGCAATCTTGGGGTTCAGGTGTGCTGTTTGGCTCCCAGGCAAGAATAGTGGGGGCTGGGAGACGCCTGAAGCCCTGCGTCATCTCCTCTGGGACCCAGCCTACCTCCCCCTGGCCCGACCTGCTACCCTCTGTGGTGGCCCCACCCCGGGCCTGGCTTCCTGCCCCTCCCCAACACAGATCTTACCCGGCCAAGCTGACCTGGCCAGCTCTGGTTCTTTAGGTCTTTCTAGAACTCCGGGTAACCTAGCCCCTAACCACTAATAGTTCTCATAGTCATACCAGAGCTAGTCTCCAGCCGGCCCCTGCCCCCGCCCCCTTTCCCACCAGGAACACAATAGTAAAGGAAAGAGCAGTCTAATGGTTGGGGCCGGAGATATTGGCATGGGGGGGGGGCTTGGCCTCACATCCTGACAGGCTGCCAAGGGAAGAGAGGAAACAAAAGACTTCCCTACCGGGACAATGAGCCTCCCACTAACTCTCCTCCACCCTCCCTTTACTCCACCTTTCCAATCCTCTACCACCTTAAACTCTGGCCCTAGTCTCTCAGCCTCCCTCCTCTTCTACACTATGCGCTCTCTCTCTCTCTCTCTCTCTCTCTCTGATTGTTCTTGAACTCCAGTGTTTTTCTCTCTCACACACACACACACACACACACACACACACACACACCAGATAGCTCTGCCTCCATCAGGTTCCAATAGGTTCTCCCTACTCTGATAACCCAACAGCATCTAGGTCCCTTCTCCCTGACAAGGTTGAAGGCAAGGTGGAGAGGCTTCTCTGCAGTGGTAGGCAGTGAACCAGCCCCTTTTAGCTTAGGCTGCATGCACCAGTGTGGTGGCACAGGCCTTTGATCCCAGCACTCAGGATGTAGAGGCAGACAGATCACTGGAGTTCAAGATCAATCTGATCTATAGAGAGAGTTCCAGGACAGCCAGGAGCTACACAGAGAAACCCTGTCTCAAAAAAAAAAAAAAAAGAAAGAAAGAAAGAAAGAAGGAAAGAAAGAAGGAAAGAAAGAAAGGGGAAGGGGAGACAGACAGACAGAGATGGGGGAATAGTAAAAGAAAAAGTGTTGCCTTGCCAAAGAATGGTACCCCAACTTAGGCTGGACTCCTGGCAGTGAGACAGGGCTGAGGGACAGGATACCCATCTCCATGCTGACACCAACAGAAGAAACAGTGGGTCAGCTGGTCTCAGTGCCTTTGATAGGTCATGTGTCTCTTTTTTAAATGTTATTTACTTTATGTGTGTGCTTGAGCACGCTCAAATGCAGCCTTGAGCCTGTGCTGTGGCTTGTGAGTAAAGGTAATAGGAGAATTTGTGGGAGTTGGTTCTCTCCGTCCACCATGTGGGGCCTGGGGATCCAGCGTGCTGAGCCATCTCTCCAGCCGTGTGTGTGTGTGTGTGTGTGTGTGTGTGTGTGTGTGTGTGTCGCGTGTGTGCACGTGTGTGGGGGGGTGTTTACGTGTATATGCATGTTTGTGTGTATGAATATGGATATGTAAGCACTATGGTGTTCATGTGGAGGTAAGAGGACAGTTTCTGGCTTTTGTCCTCACCTTCTACCCTGTTTCACACAGGGTCTCCCTTGTCATTCACTAATGTACACACCAGGATAGCTGGCCCTCAAGCTTCTGGAACATTTTCTGTCTTTAGATGTCATCTCCCGGTAGAGCTATACAGATGTGGACTACCATATCTGACTGTTTACATGGGTTCTGTGGATTTGAACTCAGGTCCTCACAGTTGTATAGTGGGCACTTTGTCCACTAACCTGTCTCCAAGTCCTTTCTTACTTTTGGATTTATTTCATGTCCTGACACAGGGTCTCACGGAGGTCAGATTGTCCTTGAACTCAATATATACTCAAGGGTGGTCTTGAACTTGATCTTCCTGCCTCCACCTCCCATTGCTGGGATTACAGGAGTCTGTTTGTTTGTTTGTTTGTTTGTTTATTGAGACAGAGTTTCACTCTTTAGCTTGGCTGCCCTTGAACTCTCCACAGTCCTCTTGCTTCAGCCTCCCAAATGCTGCCATTAACGACTGGAGCCACTCCTCCGGGCTTCTCTTTGGTCTCAAGATCTCAAGTCTCAAGCATCTCAGGCTGATATGTGGGGCGCTGGTGTTTCAACCTAGTGCTTCTCAGTTGCACCTGGCACTTGCATTCCTTTGTGAACTGATTTCTCATTTTTTTTTCTCCTATGACTTTTAAATTTTCACGTGCTTTGGTGTTTTACATGCATTTGTGTCAGTGTGAGGATATTGGATTCCATGGAACTGGAGTTACAGACAGTTGTGAACTCCCACGTGGGTTCTGGGAATTGAACTCAGGTGTTCTGGAAAAGCAGCCAGTGCTCTTAACCACTGAGCCATCTCTCTAGCTGAAAGTATACTCACAAGTGTCTCCAATGGGTCTCTAAGCCTGTAAACCACTAGGTTAGCATTATGTTATCCAGGTATAATGGAACCTTTTTTTTGTTGTTGTTTTTCAAGACAAGGTTTCTCTGTATAGCCCTGGCTGTCCTGGAACTCACTCTGTAGACCAGGCTGGCCTCAAACTCAGAAATCTGCCTGCCTCTGCCTCCCAAGTGCTGGGATTAAAGGCGTGCACCACCACCGCCCGGCTAATGGAACCTTTTAACATAGGGTGAACATGAACACAACAACCATGCAAAGTCCTGAGCCACCATCCCACAGTGAAAAGTAGGATTAGAGAGATAACCATCGTGAACCCTCTGCTTTAAGCAAGGGTCAAGCGATCATAGAAATTAGAAAGGCACATGCCTTTAAGCCCGGTACTCTGGAGACAGAGGCAGGTCTCTAAGTTCGAGGCCAGCCTGGTCTACAGAGCAAGTTCTGGGACAACCAGGGCTACACTGAGAGACCCTGTCTCAAACAAACAAACAAACAAACAAACAAACAAACACAGATGAGAAACTAAGAAGTAGGAGCTGGGGTGATGGTGCAGTGGTTAAGAGGGCTTGCTGCTTCATAGAGAATCTGACTTCAGTTCTCAGCATGCATATGGTAGCTCAGAACCATTCCTAACTCCAGTTCCAGGGGATCCATCGAAATCTCCTGGCTGCTACAGGAAACAGGCATGCATGTGGGCCTGCAGGTATATATGAAGGCTCTTGGAGGTTAGAAGAAGGTGTTAGGTCTGGAACTGGAGTTGCGGGGGATGGTGGGCCACTGTGTAGGTGCTAGGAACCAAACATGGGTCCTCTGCAAAATCAGTAAGTGGTCTTAGCCACTGAGCCCAGCCTCATAAATATTTTTTCTAATTATCTACATGTTTATTCATATTTATTATGTTATATAAAATGTTATATATGTGTATATAAATGGAGAGTTCAGGGTCGAGGGTTGAATATGCCAGATAGGGACTGAGGGATGCTGGGAAACCTGAAGGCCAGGTCCACTTTGGTATGTAAAATATGTGCCTCAGCTGCTTGTCCTGGGTCTCAATCCCAGCACGGTACCAGCAGCATAGTTGGGGTCCTAACGGGGCATTTCTGTCTGAGTTCTACAACTTTTGTTTTTCTTTCTTTTTTTTTTTCTTCCTTTTGGATTTTGGTTTTTCTTTTTTTCTTTTCTTTTTTTTTTTTTTTTTTTTTTGAGACAGGGTTTCTCTGTGTAGCCCTGGCTGTCCTGGAACTCACTCTGTAGACCAGGCTGGCCTCGAACTCAGAAATCCGCCTCCCTCTGCCTCCCAAGTGCTGGGATTAAAGGCGTGCACCACAACCAACATGCAACAGCTGTTATTTTAAACTTGGGGTGTTCTCACAGGGCCTCTGATGGGCTTGAAGGGGTGAGCTAAAGGATGCTTAGTTTGGCTTAGGGCCAAAGGTCGACCAGCATTTGTTTTCTTAGGGTAAACCGTATTCCTTAGGGCTACATGAATGTCCACCTCTTTTAAGCTGTAGATTCTTAGCTTAACAACATTACAGGTATAGCCAGTGTCTTCCCATAGGCAAACAATCTCAAACTCTGCCCCCTGGAAGACGTGTACATAGTACACTTGGGACGCCTGCCCACTCCTAGCTTAAATTTAATCCCTTTAACCTGTCTTGTGTTCTATCTCTATCCGCCAACTGAAGTTCAATTGCCTCTTATACTCTGGAGGCCACCAGGAACCAGACACACCTCCCTCCAACACTCGCTCAAGCCCATAGATTTTTTTTTTAACATTGGAAGACCAATATCTCCACAATTTTATGTGCGGTTTTTCAGTTCCAGTGCATGGTCCTTAGCTGAAGTTGTTCCTGGACACTCCATTAGGAAAGTGGCCGGGAAGGCTCCTATTCCCAGAGACCTACGTCCCCCTGGGAATACAGAAGAAACCAACTGTACCTGGCAGGGCTTTGTTTGTTTGTTTGTTTGTTTGTTTGTTTTGCCTCCTAGTGAAACCAGAGCGTCCACTGTTTGGTTTGTTTTCTTTTAATCTGTTTATACACTGGTCTAATGTCTGTCGAAGCATCTCCTACCTCTTTGAGACTGTGTCCTTCCATGGTCCTCAGCAGTGGCACTGGGACCACACAGGACTCAGTCTCTTTGCTCCCTCCCGCCCTCCCCACCTTGGGAGGCAGAGGCAGGTGGATCTCTGAGTTCCAAGCCAGCCTGGTCTACAGAGTGAGTTCCAGGCCAGCCAGGGCTACACAGAACACACACACACACACACACACACACACACACACACTCTCTCTCTCTCTCTCTCTCTCTCTCTCTCTCTTTCTCAAAAAAAAAAAACAAAAAACAAAAAAACAAAACCAAAAAAACTCAACCAAACAAAAATGGAAGGAAGGAAGGAAGGGAGGGAGGAAGGAAGGAAGGAAAGAAGGAAGGAAAGAAGGAAGGAAGGTAGGTATTTATTTTTATTTTATATGCTATGAGAGTTTTGTCTGCATGTATGCCTGTGCACCATGTGCATGCAATGCCCCAGGAGGCCAGAAGGGGGCAGCAGACCCCTGGAGCTGAAATTATTGACAGTTATGAGTCACTGAATGGGTGCTGGGAATCAAACCTAGGTTCTCTGAAGAGAAGCCAGTGCTCTTAATTACTGTGCCCTCTCTCTGACCCTGCAAATGATTCATAATTTAACTTAATTTTTATTTTTGGTGTGTGCACGTGCGTGCATGCATGCATGTGTATTCCCATGTGTGTACAGGTGTCTGAGGAGGCCAGAAGAGGGCATTGGATCTCCCAGAGCTGGAGTTACAGGTGGTAGTGAGCTGTGCCGAATGTGGGTGTAGGGAACCAAACTCCCAGGTCCTTGCCAAGAGTAGCAAGAGTTTCTAACCGCTGAGTGATCTCTCCAGCCCCTATAAACATCTAAGTGATAATCTCTGACATACATATTATACTATCTAGAAAAACAGTATTTATTGTAAACATTCCTCGTGTGAGATGCTTTGGTGGTGGTTTGGTTTTGCTATTGGTTGTGCTGGCCATAGAACACAGGACTGTACAGGCTAGGCCTTCGACCTGCTACTGAGCCACGTCACCAGCTGCCTCTATGTTATTTCTATTTTGTATTCTTTTTGTTTTCCTGTGAGATATGTACTGTTTGCTGGGTGTGGTGGCTCATAGCTTATGAGTCTAACATCTGGAAGGCAGAAAGCAGGTGTTTAAAGCCAGCTTCTGCTATATACAGAGTTTGAAGCCAGCCAGGCAGGGCCACATGAGACCTTTTCTCAAACAAACATAAAGAGCCACTGAGATGGCTTAGCCAGTAAAGGTGCTTGCCACCAAGCTGCGTGACCTGATGACCTGAATCTGATCCTTGGGACTTACATGGTTGAAGGAGAGGAGGAGAACATCTTGCATATATATATATATATATATATATGTATATATATATATATATATGCAAGGTGTGTGTGTGTGTGTGTGTGTGTGTGTGCATCACAGATATGCCTGGTGGCCATGAAGATAAGTAAAGGAAGCAGAATCCCACAAACTGTAGTTAAGGATGGTTTTCAGCTATCATGTGAGTGCTGAGAACTGAACCCAGGTCCTCTGTGAGAGCAACAGTTGCTCTTAACCAGGGAGCCATCTCCACAGCCCTGAGAACTAACTCTTGCAAGTCATATCTGATCTTCATATCTTGCTGTCCCCTGTGTGTGTGCATGCACATGCTTTCACTAGACATCAGACAAATGCTTTGAAAAAGGACTTGAGAGGGCATGCCACATACCTGCAATGCCACTACTCAGTGGATGTGGAGGCAGGAGAATCATGAGTTCAAGATTAGCCCAGACTCCATATCAAGACTTTGTCTCAAAAACAGGAAAAATTCTTTGAGATTTACAATTCATTTTAGCAATGTCAATATCTCTACCCAACTCTTTTTTATGTTTGTGGGGTTTTTGCTTTTTTGAGACAGGGGATCTATACATATCCCTGGCTGTCCTGGAACTCACTCTGTAGACTAGGTTGCTTTGAATTCACAGAACTAATGCCTACCTCTGCCTTCCAAGTGCTCCATGCCTGGCCCTATCAAATTCGTGTGTGTGTGTGTGTGTGTGTGTGTGTGTGTGTGTGCGCGCGCGCGCGCGCACGCACGCGCGCGCGCGCTGTGGAAGGTATAAACAAAAGGATCAGGTTTTCAGAGTCACCCTTGCCTACACCAAGAGTTCAAGCCTGGGACATGTGAGCCGCTGTCTTGGTACTTAACAACGAAAAATGATGCTAAAAAAGAGGGCTGTCCCATTCCAGTTAACTGCAAGTATTGTCCTACCTACCATGACTCACCGAAGAACCGTTCCGGGCTGAGGACGTAGCTCAGTTGGTAGTGTTTGCCCACTGTGCACAAAGCCCTGGTTCAATCTCCCAATCCCCAGCTCCACATAAACCGGGTGAGGTGGCGCATGCCTGTAATAGCGCCACTGAGACCAGGAGTTAAAAGCCATTTTCAGCTACATTGGTTTCTAGCTACCCTGGGATATGTGAGGCAGCCTCAACGGGAGCAAAAGGGGGGTGGGGTGGGGTGAGGAGTTTGGGGGTATGGCTCAGTGGGTGAAGCATTTGCCATGCAAACATGAGGACCTGAGTTTTCATGCTTTGCGCCAGGTGTAAAAGCCATGGTGGCACATACCTGTGACCTTAGCACGATGGGGAAGGGGAGGGAGCATGGACAGAGTCCCTAAGGCTCTCAGACCAGCCAGTGCAGCCTTAATAGGGAGCCCTAGGCTCAGTGAGAAGTTCTGTCAGGAAAAACAGGGTTAACAGCAATAGAGCAAAACACCTGTGATCTTGTGATCAGCTTCTGGCCTCTGCATGCAGAGAAGAGCACACATGAGTGCAACACACACACACACACACACACACACACTGAAAACCACCACCAAGAAAAATCCGTTTAAAGTGGTGGTATTCATTAACAAGGGAAGCAGCAGACAGGTGAGGGGTGCTGTAGTTTAAGCCGCAGGGAACTTTGGACTCCACGGGTTAAGTGAGCCAAGAGAGGAGTGGCTAGGCTGCACGGACGTGGGGACACCATTTAACGTTTAACAGCTAGTCTGTTCTCTGTGATTTCAAATGTGCAGGAACGTTTCCCCTGCTTTGTTCTTATCGATTTTTGGGTTTCGTTCTTATTACGTTTGGGGTGTGTATGTGTGTGTCTATGGGTGTGTACTCACACGTGTGTATGGAGATCAGAGGACAAGTTTGTGAGACTCTCTCCTACTGTGTGGTGGGTCCTGGGGCTCCAACGCAGGTCATCAGGTGTGGAAGCAAACAAGCCCTTTTACCCCTTGAGCCATTTTGCCAGCTTCACTTTAGTCTATAAAGTAAAGTGTTTTGTTATGACATTTCCATATGTATACATTTGTCATTATATTTTTCATTCTTATTCATGCCTCCTCCCCCCCCCCCCCCCCCCCTTATCTTTTTTTTTTTTTTTTTGAGACAAGATTTTACTGACAGGCCTAGAACTCACTAGGCAGGGCAAACTGGTCTCAAAATCCCAGCATTCTCTTCTGCCTCCAGAGTGTTGGGGATTACAGGCCTGTCCCACTAAGCCCAGTTGACATATTGGAAAAGCCTTATCTCTGTGAGGGCTCACAACAAACTGTCACAATGGGAGTGGGACTCTTAGAACAGGGTTGTGGCTCAGTGGAGAGAGAGAGAGAGAGAGAGAGAGAGAGAGAGAGAGAGAGAGAGAGAGACTAGCATACCTGAAGCTGGGGGGCTTGGGGGGATGGTTAATCCTGAGCACCTCATAAATCTGGTGGGATGGTACATGTCTGTAACTCTGGCACTCAGGCCTTGAAGGCAGGAGGATCAAATGTTGAAGGTCATGCTCAACTGTATAAAAAAATATTGAGGTTTGTTTGAGCTAGAAGAAAAAAAAAGACTCCTAATGTTATTTCTACTCAGGGAGACTGTTTGGCCTGTCGGTGTGGGAGAATTCCCTACTGTTGTCAGCTGGAAACGTAGGTGACTGCTAACACTGGCAGTGTGAAATCAGTGAAGGGCTCCATAGTTTGTTTTGTTCTCATTTTTTTAGATTATTCCATTTTGTCTTACGTGCATGAGTGTTTTACCTGCATGTATCTATGCGCCACATATGTGCCTAGAGCCCACAGAGGTCCAAAGACGGCATTGGATCCTCTGGAACTGGAGTTACGGATGCTTGTGAGCCAGCACGTGGGTGCTAGGAACCAAACCCAGACATCCTCGACAGAAAGCAACAGGTGCCCTTCACTGCTGAGCTGTCTCTCCAGTGCCTTCAGAATTTTCATAATTATATTTTTTATTCATATATTTATTGCGTTAGCTGGGAGCTGGTGAATGCTACAGTGTTCTCGTGGTGGTCAGATGACAGACAACTTCTGGGAATCAGGTTTCTCCTTCTACTATGTTTATCCTGGAATTCAAACTCAAGTTGTCCGCTTTGGCAGCTGGCATTTTTACCACAGAGCCATCTCTCTGTTCCTCCAAGTGCCCTACTACTGAGAAGGGAAAATAAAAAAGGTTTAAGGATTTGGTTGGGTCTCTTTGGGACAAACATTGCTTCTGGGCTAACGGGAGTTCTCACCTGCAGCAGACAGCTGAGCAACTTGGTGCTGGCAGCAGGAGCCTCTGGTGGTCCAGAGAGTGGAAGGAATGACCTCATACACACAGGGTAAATGGAGGGTGCTTCCTGACCAGGGGAGTAAAGACCTGGGGCGTCACTTGCATGGGAAAGGGAAATCACGGGATTTTCACCAGCTCTGTGTGTGTGTGTGTGTGTGTGTGTGTGTGTGTGTGTGTGTGTAAGTCTTGCAATGTAGTCCAGTCTGCAGCTTGGTCCCCCTTTCCTTCCATGTTGTGGGAGTATGACCACATTGGATCTATGCAGGGAATGGGGGTGGAACTCAGGGCTTTCTGGGTACTAGAGAAGCTGTTTTCCAAACTCTCTACTGATAGCAGCAGAGAGGCCAGCCCAGGACTCATTCCTATTGATACACTATCTTAGGCTTGTGGGCTAGTCTGGCGGGCTCTTTCATCTCCGGCCGGGTGCAGCACCTTTCTCCACGAGGCTTGTCTCTCCACTATCGAGGCGTTAATCCTGTCTGCGTACTAATGAATTGCTTATCCCACTAAATGAGAAACTTTTAAGCAATCAAAGGCTTGAATCCGGCTGCTGATGGTGGCTCCTAGGGTGAGAACGAGCCACGACTCAGAAAGACTTGGGGGGACCCGGATGCAGAATGATAGCTGCAAAAAGAGGGTGTCTTTGGATAAGAGAAGGGGAGCCTGAGTCTGCATGGGGAAGGAGGAGGGGACTCCCAGATCTAGCCGGTCAGCCTGGCTCCAGCCAGGCCGGCTGTTTCCTGCCCTGGCTGACCCCCCACCCCGGAGCGGGACCCAGGCAGGGCAGTGAGGAAGGGCAGGGGGGTGGGGAGCACTACTTGCCTCAGGAAGATAAGTGCACAGGGACAAGAGGTCATCACTGGTCTCCCGCGTCCGCTGGGGTGTGTGTGTGTGCTTAGGGTATTTGGCAGACTCCCAGGTGCCCCAGACTCCTACCTCAGAGTTTCCAGACCCTGTACTAATTACCTTAAATTAAAGTCTCCTTACCGCAGACCTTAAGGGACCGACTTCGGTAGCGCCACCTCTCTCATCCACCCATCCTGCGCCCCGCACTACCGGTGCCCCTATGTAGTTGGGAGACCATCTTTCCTGGACCCTCCCCTCAAACTGATGGATGAGAGAGGGTGCTAGCAAATGAGAGGAAGGGCCCTCCCAGCCATCCCGAGGGCCCCCGGGAGCCAGACAGGAAACAGCCTCAGGAAAGAGCCACAGCGTTCCCTACCCCCGCCCTGGAGGTCAAGGCTGCAGGCAGTGGGGAAGTGTCCCCCTCCTAAAAAAAATGAAATGAGGTGTTACGGAGATTCCTCGCCCTCTCTGACACGCCTGCCTTTTATTTACATTTTCTATACTTCTTTGGGTTTCAAAGCACTTTCTCCAGGGTTGGGCTGCTCGCAGAGTGGATCTCCAGTACTTAACGTGCACGCAACGGTTGTGTGAACGCTCGCTCCGGAGATATCCAAGCTGGGATTATTGCTTAAGGTATGGAGGTCCGTTGGGAAGCTCTCCTTACCCAAAAGCAAAGCTTTAACCTTCTCCTGCCAAATGCAATCCTCAGCTTCAACTAGATGGCAGGGGGCGCATCCAGATGTGGAATCTCAGGTCCCGCAGCAGGGTAAAAGCAGGCTTTTTGTGTGGGGCGTGCGCATTTACGCACAGATCTATGAGGCCTGATAGGTTCAAGCCAGTCCGGAGGGCTCCTGGGCTACTGCCCCAACGTGCACAATCAGGGGTAGGCACGAGACACCCAGCACCCCTGGACAGTCCCTAAGTTCCACACATGCCGCCCCTCCCCCTCTTGCAAACTTTCTCCTAACTTCCCGACAGGCTCAGTTCGGGCACCCCCCACCAATGAATTATTCAGTAGCATAGGAACCAATCAGCTCCCCTGCCCACCCACCTCCCAGAGAAGCCCGGGCTCCAGGGTGTTGGGAGATGGGGCGGGGGGAAACTCTGACTTGGGACTGTCTCCGCCTCCTGCGCGCCCCTCCCTCCCAGGCTAGGCGCCGCCCGACTCAGTCTCGGCTCGGCCCAGCCCTGGCCCAGCCTGTCTCCCTCCCTCCTGCTCGGTTCCCACTTTGGCTTTCACCCTTCTTGACTGCGACCGGCGCACTCAGCCTGGCGGCGCGAGAGCCACCAACCACTCCAGGGAGCGAGGGAGACCGCGAGCAATCGGCCCACCCCAGCCAGCCAGGGCGGGACCCCCGAAGCCCCGAAGGGACCCCTAACTCTCAGCCACGTCCCGATCTCCGCCCGCCCAGCGACGGCCACTGCCAGGACGTCCCCCCTCAAGGCTGGCCTCCCCGCGCGCGCGCGCTGCGGCGGGGACGTGGGGGCCGCACCTGAGCGCGGGTGCCCGGCGCGCCTGCATGGGCCATCGCTGAGAGGCCCTCGACGGAAAGTCCCAGGAGCAGAGTCGGTGCGCACCCGCCCAGGGGAGGGTCAGACCTGGGGGGGCCAGGGCCCCCCAAACTCGGATCGTATTCAGCCAAAGTGAGGCGGCGCCATGGAGCTCAGAGCGCTGCTGTGCTGGGCTTCCCTCGCCACTGCTTTAGAAGGTGAGTTTCCTTCGGGGTGCCCCCTGTTCTTGGGGTCCCCAAAGTTGTGCCTCAGAGTGCAGAAGCTGGTCTCTCCCAATTCCAACTCTGGCACCCCTTAAACACTTCGGACCAATAGCACTAGAACGGGAGGGGGCGGGGAGGAGGCGGCCTGGCGGGGAGTGGGGTTTTTCTTTTGTTTGGGAAAGAGATGGAGTCGAGGGCTCAGACCCGGGACCTTCCCTTACCCAGCCTTCTAAACTCTCAGTCCTGATGCCAAAGGCCCTTGACAGCCATCCTTTTCCTGTCCACCCCAGTGTTCAAAACTATCCCCCAAAGTTTTTATCCCCTCTCCACCTCTGGCTAAAGTCCAGGGGCAAGTTCCTGAAGGGGCACTTGTAGGCGAGGCAGACCCCAGCTAGGCCATAAAACGATCCCCACCAATTCTCTAGCACTCACACCTGGGCTCCATAACCGGACACCCCAGTCAGGATGGCCCCATCTGCAGCCCCAACTCCCAAATGGCTGGCCAGGCGACTGGCCTCGTGCAGACTCTCTTGTTTGTCAAGGCTGTACCCCAACCTTTTAAATGCCATTTAGACCTCAAATTTCCCCAAGGCTGCGGCTTTCTTCCAGCCATGCAAGCTTGCAGACAGTGCCTAACACCGGCCTGTGTCGCCCTAATTCACCCCAGCTGGCCACCTCCAAGTCCGCCTCAGATTTCTGTGTTGTTTTTTTTTTCCTTCTGTATTCCTCTCCAAATGCCTCCCTCTTCAGATCTGTGAGCCCCTAACTCCACAGTCCCTCTTGGGGCTGCACGGAACCCGTAAACCCCGCTTCCCTGCCTCCCTAATCTCTTTTCAATGAATCCCCCCCCTCCACCTCCCTTGCTGCTTAGAATCAAAGGAGTATCTGGGGAGTGGGCCATGGGAGTGGGGGGGGGGGATCTCTTGCTGAAGCAGTGGAATCAAAGGAGTTTTGAAAATCCTGCTCCCTCTAGGCTGGGCAGTGCTGTTCTGGGCTGATCAAAGTGTGGGAATGGGGTGGGGGTGAGGAACGGCTTTGGACTCCTGGAGAGGAAGAAGTCAAATGGGCATAGAACCCCTGAAGTGTGTTTGGAGGGAAAGACTGATGCCAACAGGAAATGCCCCTTCCCTCGTGCGCATTACCTGGGTGGTTCTCAAGCCCCTCCTTACACCTGTAGCAAGCGTGTTTATTTTACTGTTATTTTGCCCTGCAAAAAAGCCAGCTTTTGTTTCCCTATTTTTACAGGTGACAACCCGAGGCTTTAGAAATGTTAATTAGTTTATCCAAGGCCACTGGCCCTAAAGAAGGTGTAAACTGAGAGATGGGGTTGGGGGGAGGGGACAACGACCAGGAAATGGAGCCCTGGAGGGATTGGAGGTGAGCGGTGGGTCTGGGAACTGAAGTGAGCTGGAGGCAAACAGGTGTGATCTAGGTGCAGGGAAAGTGAGGGTGAGTTCAGTTTAGCTGGCTGAAGAGCAGCCTGTTGCACAGACAGTGTGTAAATTGGAGACAGGAAAACGGTATCCAGGCTGGAACAATGGAGGGTGGGGACAGCAGCCTCTATCCACCCCCTTCCCAGAACCATGGGCATCCTGTCCGAAATGTGCTCCACTGTCTTCTGCCACCCAGGAGAGGGGCCCCTAGGCTTTGCCTCCAGCTGGTCAGGTCCCTGCCTGCCCCCTACGCCCAGAGACATCACTGGGAACTTTGAGGCGATGCCCTGTCTCTGGCACTCCTCTCCCAAAGCACCAAAGGGAAGGGCGGGACCTGGTCCCAGGTGTTCTGCTGTCTCCCCTGGAGGCCCACTCTCCATACGCATGTGGTTCCCAGACTCTTGCCCCCCTCCCAGATTGCCCTAACCTCACCAGGGGATTCCCCACCCTCCCTCCCCTTTGTATTGCCAGAGGTCTTTGTGTTTCTCCTAATTCCTTACTGGGTCAGCACCATGTCCGCTCCCCTCAGATGATCCCAGAACCCTGCCAGGTGTGTTCACACACAACCCTCCCACCCCTAAACTCTCCTTTTTTCTTTCTGCTAACCAAGTCCAGATGTGGTGAGGCCTCTGCCGGAGCCGAGAGGCGAGGGAACCCAAGAGTCCAGGCTTCTAGAACTTATTTCTCTGGTGGTAGCAAATGGGGGAGGTGCTCTGCCTCCAGCCAGGGCACCACCTTGAAGAAGGATTGGGGTGTCTGGTGTGAAAAGGGGGTGGGACTGGGATGAGGAATACAGTTGGGATAGAAGCCAAGTTTGGCACTTAGGGAAGGGAGGGAGTGTAGAGCCCAAGATGGGCCTGTAGGAAACCTTAGTCTGTACCAGCAGTTCTCAGCCCCAAGGGACAAGGCCAGGACCAGGGTTTGTCCTGGTGTTTTTTTTTGTTTCTATACAAGGTCTCATGTAATTCAGACTAGGCACAAACTCACTATGTGGTGGCGTCTGGTCTTGAACTCTTGATCTTTCTGTCTCTACCTCCCAAGTGCTGGGATTACAGGAATGTGCTACCAGGTCCAGAACTTTTTCTTTTTCCTTTCCTTTTCTTTCCTTTTCTTTTGCGACGTTAGGGGTGAAGCCTAGACTGACCACACAAAGCAAGCCCTATAGCTGAGCCATCCCCTGCCTTCCCTGACTCTGGCAAATTCTGAGATTCAACCCAAGAGCAACCTTCTTCTTCGGGCTTCCTGAGTTGTGTGCACTTTTAACTTCCAGCATGGATTTCCCTCATTTTTCTGGGTACAACCCCTCGGGGAAACCTAGAAGCTGTGCAGTGTCCGCCTGCTGCTGATGAGCGAGTCGCCGTTAGGAATGGGGGTGACAAATCTAAGGACAGTGAGCTGGTGAGAGTGTTCACTAGGGAATGCTACCTCCAAGCCTGGTGGCCTGCTTTCAGTTCTCAACACACACACACACACACACACACACACACACACACGATTTTCTTTATGTGAGGTGGGAGACAAAAGGAAGAAGAGTTCTCTTGTGCAGTGGTACTTGGGTCATACTCAGAGGACAACTTATGAGGGTTGGCTCTCTCCTTCAGTCATGTGATCCCAAGGATGAAACTCAGGTCTGCAGGCTTGGAGGCTCGTGTCTTCATCTCCTTGGTCCAAGAGAATACATTTTGCTACTTCCTGGAACTAGAAAGACAACCCACCACTCCCTCTCGTCCCGTTTGTTCTCAGCAAGCTGTTGGCCCTACTTCTCATGCACACCTCCCCAAGGGGCTGACTTTGTCTCTCTGTCTTAGAGACCCTGCTGAACACAAAACTGGAAACGGCGGATCTGAAATGGGTGACTTACCCTCAGGCGGAGGGCCAGGTAAGAGCTGGAGGGGAACTGAGGCAGAAGTTGCACAGAAACACTCCGAGATACTTGTTTCCTGTAGCCACTGTGACCCTAGCTAGAGGTCCTGACTGACAGCTTCCCGTCTCTGCACAGTGGGAGGAGCTAAGCGGCCTGGATGAGGAACAGCACAGCGTGCGCACCTATGAGGTGTGCGACATGAAGCGTCCAGGGGGCCAGGCACACTGGCTGCGCACTGGCTGGGTCGCAAGGCGAGGTGCTGTCCACGTGTATGCCACGATACGCTTCACCATGATGGAATGCCTGTCCCTGCCGAGGGCCAGTCGCTCCTGCAAGGAGACATTCACTGTCTTCTATTATGAGAGCGAAGCTGATACTGCTACGGCCCATACGCCGGCCTGGATGGAGAACCCCTACATCAAGGTACCACAGTGGGATTCATCAGCCTTTCTAGGGGGTTGATGGAGCTACAAGCAGTTAAGTCTAGGGAGGGAAGAGGTGGAGGTGTGTGTGGATAGAAGGGAAGAATACAGGTGAACCGCCTCTTCTGTGTAGGGAGGTCCAGCCTCAAGCTGCTCTCACGACGTCTCTGCAGACCTACCTATTGAGCCACCCACCCTTCTGTACCCCTTTTCATGTCTGTCACTATCAGGTCCTCCTACACCCCCAGATCTGTGTTGTACTTGCTCACTATCTTCTTTCTGGTTCCTTCACACAAAGCTGTGTCTTTTTATTTGTTTGCTTTGTTCTTGGGACAGGGGCTTGTGTAACCCAGGCTAGCCTCAAATTCACTAAGGCTGGCCTTGAATTCCCAATCCTCTTGCCTCTACCTCCTGAGTGCTGGGCTTATGGGTGGGTGCCATGGTGCTTGGCTCCTGGCTATCTTTTTAATTCATTTCTTTGTTGTATTTTGAGACAAAGTCTACCTATGTTAACCCTGGCTATCCTGGAACTCACTCTGTAGATCAGGCTGGCTTTAAACTTACAGAGATCTACCAGCGTCTGTCTCCCAAGCACTGGGATTAAAGGTGTGAACTGCCATGTCTTATTTATTTATTTGATTTATTTTTCTGCATATGACCGTTTTGTTCCAGTGTATGTTTGTGTAGCATAGGCATCCTGGAATTGGAATTACTGATAGTTGTAAGTACTGCCACATAAGTTCTGGGAATCGAACCCATGTCCTCTGTAAGATCAAGTGCTGTTAACTACTGAGCCATCGTTCCAGCTCTGTCTTTTAAATTTCAGTTTCCAGTGCCAGCCACACCTTGCCTCCCTAAAAGTTGAGCTATTGCTGCACTGCCCATACTGTCTTTGAAACATCTTGACTCAAAATAATCCTTGGGTCCATGTCCTCCACTTTGTTCACCCAGAAAGGGTACCAAAGCCTGGGCTTTGAGGGCAGAAGGAACCCCGAGTTAGCCTGGAACACCTGATCCTCCTGCCCCCACCTCCAGAGTGTTGGGGTTACGGGAGTATAACATCATATCTGACATCTTTCCAACATTTTTTATGTGTCTATATGTGTGTGTGTATGTAAGTATGTATGTATGTATGTGTATGTACGTACATATGTATTGTGTGCATGCATGACTATGCCACAGTGATAGTCTGGAGGTCAGTCAGAGACAACTATCAAGAGTTGGCTGTCTCCTCTCACTTGGGTTCTGGGCACGGAACTCAGATCCTTACGCTTGGTGACAAGCACCCTTTACCTCCCCGGCTGTCTTACCAGCCCTGTTTTTTTGCTGTTGTTGTTGTAATTTTTTTTAGGTTTATAAATTATTTTATATGTGGATGTTTTGCATGCATTCATGCATTTATGTGCACCCCACGTGCAGGCTTGGTGCCCAAGGAGGGCAGAAGAGGGTGTTGGATCGCCTGGAACTGGAGTTAAAGATGGTTGTGGGCCACATTATGGGTGCTGGGCATCAGGTCCTCTGTAAGAGGACCGTGCTCTTGACTGCTGAGCTAGCTTTCCAACCTTCATGGTTTTTCTTTCTCTTTCCATTCCTTCCTTCTTTTTTGTTTTTTAAATTTTTCTCTTTCTTTTCTTTCTTGAGATAGCGTCTCTCACTGTGTAGATCAAGCTGGACTTGAACTCAGAGATCTGTCTGCCTGCCTCTTGAATGCTGGGGTCAAAGGCGTGTGCCACTGTGCTCAGGTTTTTGTTTTGGCTTTTGTTCATATATACATCCTAAAACTTACTTGTTTTTATTTTCTGTGTCTGAATGTTTGCCTGCATGTGTGAGCCTGTGTGCCATGTACATGCCTGGTACCCACAGAGGCCAGAAGAGGACGTCAGAGCTCCTGGAACTGGAGTTACAGAGAGTTATGAGCTACCATGTGGGTGCTAGGAATTGAACCCTGGGCTTCTGCAAAAGCAGCAAATGCCTTTAACTGCTGAGCTGTCTCTCTAGGTCGTGTTTGGTTTTTGAGACAAGATCTCACATATAGTTCGGGCTGATTTCAAATCCTCTTACATAGCCAAGGGTGACCATAAACTCCTGTTCCTCCTGCTCGCACATCCCCAGTGCTGGGGATTACAGGCGTGTGTTAGAGATTGAGCCCAGGGCCTCCGCATGAGCTAACTTATCTACATCTCCACCCCTAAAAGATGAATTTATTTGTTTATTTATTTATGTGTATATTTTACAACTCTTCACCCAGAACTGGTTATTGATTTCCCATGGACTGTCAGCGTCTGAGGTGAGAATCTTAGCCTTCAGATCGTGTGGCTGCCCTCACCCTGGCTCCTGCCTTCATGGTCATCTATGATTCTCTCATTTCTCCTTGGCTCTGAGGTCGAGGCACAGGTATCTACGGATATCCCTAGAACAAGTGAATCACTGGGAAACTGACACAGAGAAGGAAGAAGAGTAGCTCAGCAGCAGTGGACAAGAGGCGCAGACCGCGCTGGGCAAGTCGCTCAGTACTGAGTGCTGGCTTAGCAGTCACAAAGCCCTGGGCTGGACTGAGCATTCCCTAAATAAGTACAGTGGTGCCTGCCTGTCATCCCAGCACTTGAGAGGTGGAGGCAGGAGGATTTCTGCTTAGTCTATAGAGTTGTGCCAAGGACTGCCAAGACTACAGAAACCCTGTCTTGGAAAAACCTTGGCTACCTAGCAAGTTTGAGACCAGCTTGGACTACAGGAGACCATATATCTATGTGTGTGTGTGTATGTGTGTGTGTGTAAATGTATGTACATACACAATATACATGTACACATATATATGAATATATTGTATATTGTTATGTATATATGTATGTGCATAGCTTTATATACATATATTTATGTATGTGAAATACACATATGAATGTGTATACATGATATGTGTATACATGATATGTGTATATATACACATATGTGTGTGTATACATGCATGTGTAAATATATACATGCACACGTGTATATACACATGTGTATATGTATAAATATACACATACTTTATATACATGCATGTGTACACACATACATATATATTAGTTATATATATATACACACATATATATGTATATATGTCTCTATCCTCTCTACACAAACACACACACACACACACACTCACTATGTATCATGGAAGGTAGAAAGAAGGTTCTCCACAGGAGCTGAGGTTGTTGAAGGGATCTATGAAGAAGGTTGTCCACCAGACATCCCAGAGGACCTGGGGCAGTGGTGGTGAGCCTGGGTTCTCCTGGCAGGTGGACACGGTGGCCGCAGAACACCTGACTCGGAAGCGCCCTGGAGCTGAAGCCACAGGAAAAGTTAACATCAAGACACTGCGCCTGGGTCCTCTCAGCAAGGCGGGCTTCTACCTGGCTTTCCAGGACCAAGGAGCCTGCATGGCCCTGCTCTCCTTGCATCTCTTCTACAAGAAGTGCTCCCGGCTGATCACGAACTTGACCTACTTCCCGGAGACGGTGCCTCGGGAGCTCGTGGTGCCGGTGGCAGGTAGCTGTGTGGCCAATGCGGTCCCTACCGCCAACCCCAGCCCCAGCCTCTATTGCCGGGAAGACGGTCAGTGGGCTGAGCAGCAGGTCACCGGCTGCAGCTGCGCACCAGGGTACGAGGCCGCGGAAGGAAACAAAGTATGCCGAGGTGAGAACCGCTCCGGAAGCTTTCCTGTCTCAGGTGGGGCCAGCCCGCATTTCCTCCTGCTCTCATCCCTTAGGATTTGGGCCTTTTTTTTCCCTCCAGATTTTATTTTTAGTATAGTAGAAAGTAGTATTTAGAATTCTGTTAATTCCGTTGATTGACTGACTGGCTCTAGACGCCAGAGCACAGCATTCGGAAGCCCATTGGATCTTCTACCAAGTGGCTCCCAGGGACGGGACTCATGGGCACCTCTATCCAGCCCTGGAGCCTCGCTACTTTAAGTTGATGGTGACTGAGCCGCTGAGATACCTTGTTGGGTGGTGGAAAAGGACTTTATGATCTCCATTTTACTTTATTTGTTGTGAATTTCCTCTCATTTGCTGGTATGAATTTGCCCCTCTGTCCCTGGAATTCAGCTTGCTTTTTTTTTTTCCCTGTAGGAGTTGAATTATATCCTCAGCCTTTTGGTGGGGTGCTTTGTGTTTGGGTTTTGTTGTTATATATTCATTATTGTCTTTTAAATACAGGTGCCGGTAATTCAAACTCAGGTCTTCAGATTTGTATTTTCATTTGTCTGATTTGTTTAGAGATTTGCTTATTTTGTGTGTGTTTGTTAGGGGGCGTGGCCTGTGCTGTCAAGGCCCTTGTGTGGTCAGAGGTCAGAGGTCAGCTTGCAGGCACTCAGTCAAGTCATTAGACTTGGTGGCAAGCACTTTTACCCCTTGAACCAGCTTGCTGTCCCGTAAATGACTCCATTTTCACAAATGCCGCCTAAAATTAGTCAGTCATTACTTTTGGAATGTTGGCAACATCCGTGCCTTTGGATTGGGATCTGAGGTTTTACATACCATCCTAAACACGGGACTTTACAGAGCCCATTCTGGGTGCTGCAGCAAGCTAAAACATCATGTTTGCTCATGACTTCGCTGTCCCGGAGGTCCTAAGGCCATCCGCTGCATCTCTTGGTATTTTGTTTGCGGTTTTTGTTTTCGTACTAGGATTAAGTCTTGACTTATAGTGCAGGCTGCTGTCCAGCTTGTGAGCTACCCCACTAGGCTTGTATCTTCTTTGGGTTGTTTGTTTGTTTTTTGTGTTTGTTTGTTTGTTTGTTTTTGGTATTGTTGGTTTGGTTTTTATAATTTAAAAAGATATATATTTCAAATTATTTGTATACATGAGGTTATGTGTACATGAGGCATCGTATCTCCCCTGGAGCTGGAATTACAGGCTGCTGCCATGAGCCACCCAATATGGGTGCTAGGAGCTGAACTCTGGTCCTCTGCAAGAGCAGCCATTGCTCTTAACCTCGGATCCAGCTCTCCAGCCCTTAGTTTTGTTTCTGAGAAGCACAGTCTCACTATGTAGCTTAGGCTGGCCTTGAACTTGCCTCTGGCTTCCAAGTGCTGTGTGTAATTACAGGATGGGAAAAAATGTCCGACTTCTACCTCTCATGTGTGCTTTCATAATGCTTCGTCATGTGTTAGCTAGCCTGCTTTTTTTTGGTAATTCTATATTTTTGTCAGTGTGTGTTGAAAATTATTCTGATGGCTGGGAATGCAGTAGAGAGCTTGCCTGGTGCGCACAAAGCCCTGGGCTCCGTCCTCTCCACCTTATAAATTGGATGTGGTGGTGCACACCTGTAATACTAGCTCTTGGGAGGCAGAGACAGATAAATCAGGAGTTCGAGGTTCTCCCTAGCTATATATGGAATTTGAGATCAGGATATAGAAAATGCTGTCTATAAGTCAATTAATTAATAAAGTCTTAATGAGAGGCTTTCACCAGCCTGCCGTGGTCAGGGTTAGGCAGAGTGAGGGATGACCCCCCCCCTTCCTCGAACTGTCTAGTCTTAAATTCACTCCTAAGATCTGCATGCAGGTTTTGTTTTTTTTGTTTTGGAGTTGGAAGATTCTTTTTAAAGTTAATTTTTTTTTTAAACTTGTGTGTGTGTGTTTTGCCTGCATGTATGAATATATGTGCTATGTTTGTGCCTGAGGTTGTAAGGGGCACTGGATCCCCTGGAATGATGTCTGTAAGACACCTCATGGGTCCTGGGAACTGAACCCAGGTCCTCTGGAAGAGCAGCCAGTGCTCATAACCTCCGAACCATCTCTCTGGTCTTCAGTTTTGTTTTTTTTGATAGACATCTTTGTTCTCTCCCTCAGCCTGTGGCCAGGGAACCTTCAAGCCTCAAATAGGAGAAGACTCCTGCCTGCCATGCCCAGCCAACAGCCACACAAATAACGTTGGGTCTCCCGTCTGCCTGTGTCGGATTGGGTATTACCGAGCCCGCTCAGACCCCCGGAGTTCACCTTGCACCAGTAAGTTTCTGTTGCCCAGAATTGAAAGACATCTGATGTTGTCCTGTGTGTGGTTCATTGTGGGAGAGTGTATGGACTTCCCACACTGTCCCTGATACAGTTTTCTGTTGCTGTGGTAAAATAATTGATAAAAAAAAAAAAACATTAAGGAAGGAAGAAATTTATTTTAACTTAACTTCAAGTTGTAGTCCATTGGCATGGGGAAGTCAAGGCAGGAACAGCCAGTCATATCAGTCATGAACAGAGAAATGAATGTGCCCATGTTTGCTCGACTGTTTGCTTGCTTGTGCTCAGTTCGATTTCTCTGTTCTCACATAGTTCAGGACCCACTTCGTAGGGAATGGTGCCACTCACAGTGGGCTGGGTTCTACTTAACTTAATCAAGAGAATCCTATACATACATGCCTATAGGCCAATGTAACATAGACAATATCTCATCAAGCCTTTTCATAAGTGGTTTTAGGTTGTGTCAAGTTGCTGAAGATAACCCATCACAGCCCTCATGTTTCTCAGCTTTAGACTCACCTCCAACACTTGAGAAGATTAGTGTGACTGTCTGTCTTTTAGAGTAGTCCCCTCCTACCCTCTACTTGATTCTCTTTTCCCATAGCCCCACCCTCTGCTCCAAGAAGTGTGGTTCCCCAACTGAATGGCTCCTCCCTGCGTCTGGAATGGAGTGCTCCCCTTGAGTCCGGAGGCCGAGAGGACCTCACTTATGCCGTACGCTGCCGAGAGTGCCGTCCTGGGGGTTCCTGCTTGCCCTGTGGGGGCGACCTGACCTTCGACCCTGGTCCTCGAGACCTCGTTGAGCCCTGGGTGTCGATCCGAGGGCTGCGTCCTGATGTTACCTATACCTTTGAAGTTGCTGCTTTGAATGGTGTGTCCACCTTAGCCACCGGGCCACCTCCTTTTGAGCCTGTCAACGTCACCACTGACCGTGAGGGTAAGACTAGGGGACAGAAAATAATGATTATTAAAAGTAATAGAGGGGGTAATGTGACCAAAGTGGATGCGTGTTCACGTGGGAATGTTATAATAAAGCCTCTGCGCAGCTACTATGCTTTAATAAATTTTAAAAGAAGGAGAAAAAGAAAGAAAAAAGCGACACTTAAAATCATAATTTCAGTATTTGGGAGTCAGAGGCGGAATGATCAGAAGTTCAAGGCTAGCCTGAGCTACTACTTGAGACTCTGCCTCACAGAGAGAAAGTAGGTCTTAGTTACTGACTCTGCCTCCTGCACACTGGGATTACAAGTGACTGAGATGGCTGCCCAGCGTCTACCTGGGTGCTGGAGATCCAGACTCTTGAGCACCAGGCAATTTGTTTACTGAGCCATCATCCCAGACCCAGATTAGTTCTTTTATTTTTTATTTTTATTTTTATTTTTTGTGGAGACAGCACCTTGCTGTGTAGCTCAGGCTAGCTTCAAACTCAGCATTCTCTTGTCTCTACTTTCAGAGTATTCAGAGGGAATTATTATTTTCAAAGATGTATTAATTTATATGTGTGTGCCTGCATACGTTTGTGTAAACCATATGTGTGGAGGTGCCCAGGGAGGCCAAAAGACGGTATTAGATCCCCCGGAACTGCAGTTACAGGCTGTGGTGAGCTACTGGACGTGGGTGCTGGGAACCAGACCTGAGTCCTCTGCAAGAGCAGTAAGTGCTCTTAACCGCAGAGCCGTCTCCAGCTCCTCAGGACGAATTCATACAGGTATTAGAGGAGGATGCTGGGTATAGCCTATGGAGGAAAACTGGGGGAACAAACCCTAGGGTTTGTGGTCTGGCTCAGTGGTCTAGCATATGTAGGGCCCTGACCGCATCCCCAGCACTGTGGGGGTGCGGGTAGTACAAGAATTGGAAATGGTTAATTGCTAGACTTTGCAGCAGGGCGCATTGGGTTTCTTTCTCCTGCAGTGCCTCCCGCAGTGTCTGACATCCGAGTGACTCGGTCGTCACCCAGCAGCTTGATCCTGTCATGGGCTATTCCCAGAGCACCCAGTGGGGCTGTGCTGGACTATGAGGTCAAGTATCATGAGAAGGTAAGACTAAGGCTCTGTCTCAGGTAGGCGGACTGGTAGACACTGAACCAGAGCTGGGGTTTTGAAGACATCTGGCGAGCCTTGCAGTTTCAGGTTGACTGCGTAACTCTACAACCACAGGCCAGCCTTTGGCCTCTCTAAGCCTCAGCTACATTTATCTGTAAAATAGTTATAAAATATAATATAAATAGATAAGTATGTAAACAGTAAAATAAATGTATAAATATAAATTTTTATTTTAAATAAAGAAAATCAATAAATATATGTACATAAATAAATATAGTTATATACCAGGCACATAGAACCACTGTAAAGGGTTGTCAGAATAGCTCAGTGGTAAAGCCCCTGCCTAGAATCCCCCAGTGAGGGGCTGGGGGCGTGGCTCAG